AACGACTTCCCGGCCGTTACGAGAGCTGGCGCCACTTCACAAAAGGGCGGAGAACGCCACTCTTCTCGATGGCCTGTTTCTCCTGCTCGAACACCTTTTCAACGTCCTTGTCGAATGCTTTTCTTGATGTTGGCGACGTAGAAGAGCACTGCAAGCTGAAACGCCTGCTCGTGAGCGTGAGTGCAACTTGGGGTGAAGTAGGTGAAGGGTTATCGATATGGGAAGGCCTTCGTCGACGACGGAGAATGGGAGTGAAGTTGTCGTTGGGAGGAAATTGAGTGGATCCAAATCAGGGAGAGCAGGCACGAAAGCTGCGACTAGCTCGGCTACGGCTTCGAACATCCGAGCACCAAGCAGCCACCTTCAGACGGTCCGGAAGACGTCCAACCCACTCCTTCTTGCCGTCCAATGCGTCCTGAATGTCGTCCATCCCACGGTCACTCTCCCAACCCTTCTCAGGGAGACCCGCCTGTCTCCCGCTGTGCTTCTATCATCGCCCACTCCTTCATGATGGACAACCTCCAAGTCGTATCGGTATCCCTGCTCAACCCCTTCTCCCACCTTGATGACGTACACAAAATCGTCGAGGTAATTTGAGATGAAAGTCATAGTGATAACAATGGTGGTATTGGTCATACGCCACCGCTTGATGGCTTCGAATGCGAGAGTGCACGAGGTAGCGTCCAGCGTGGAAGTTGCCTCGTCTGGAAAGGATTGAGTTGATAAGAAAGAAAATGTAACAGAAGAGGAATTTCGTACCAAGTATCAAAACTGCAGGTTTCCCTAACGAAGCTCTGGCAAATGCCAGCCTCTGCTTCTGCCCAGCACTAAGCCCAATACCACGAGCGCCCCCGCCACCGACAGACCATATATCAGCACCGCACGACACATCCTCCACCTCTTCCTGCGCCATAGCGTGCACTATATCGACCAAACAAACCAGCAACGACGTTCTCGAATACGCGCTTCCCATCCAGAAGAACCACTCCGCTCTGGCTCACCCCCGCAACGTGGGTTTCATCCACCCGTCGTCGATGAGACGCTTGCTCGTCAAAGATAACGAGTCCCACTTGAGGGTTGTACATCCCGAAAAGGAGCTGAACGTTGAAAAACAGTGGGTATACCGGAAAGGAACGAGCCGATGATGAACGTGATTTCGTTCACGGGGAGGAAGGTGGAGACGTTGGGATGGTGATGATGGGTAGGAAATGTGACGTGGTGGAGTGCCAGTTTGACAGAACACCTCACAGGTATGATCTTCTGCTGAAGTCTCAGAGGTCCTGGGATTGCGGAGTGGACGTGGCAATGGAGATGAGGGAAACCATCTTTGGTGAGCATGATGAACTGGGGAATGCACATCCACACGTTGGTCTTTGCGATAAGACACACCCAAAGGACCGCCCTCACGTCCTCGGCAAAAATCATGTCCTCCCTGATGAGCCGAACCAGAATCCTTGGACGAACATCCCCATCATGACGAACCCCAACGCAGACGTGATGCCCTACACTGCGCTAACCTCCCCCGCAGCTCTGCTCAACCGATGAAAAGCTGCATCTACGTGAGGATGTCCGTGAGCTGGGTTGAATGCCTTGCAGCGCGGTTTATAGCGAATTGTTGGCATTCGGGAATCGGATGCGAGGAGGGGGAAGCGAGGACTTGGGAGATGCATTGGACAAGCATGAGGGGACAGCGGAGAGGATGCCGGTGAGTGCCCATGAGTGAGCGAAGGCGAGGAGGAGGCAGGTGAGGCAAGTCGTTAAGGCGTCGTATCCTCTAAAAAATGACGGTGAGCTGGGACAAAACGTGACAGAGGGAAGGCGAACCATATCATTCATCTCCCCGGTCCATATCCAACAAGGATGATCTGACGCTGCTGAATCCAAACGAAGCAATGGCAAGCCCGACGAGTTGAAGTGCGGCAAAGCCACGTTGGTGGATTTGGAATGAGAGGGGAATCGCGAAACACGTCAAAAACCTGTCCGATGACGAATGTCATGGATGGGGCGATTCCACCCACAGCGATGAACGAGGGAGGGTCGCCTGGATCATAGGGAAACAAGAAGTCGAATGGATGGTGCCGTTGGTGGATGGTAAGAGATCGGGAGGATCTATCGAAAAACGTGGAGTCGCAAAGTGTTCAAATGTTCATGCACATGGGTGAGCTTGCCTGTATGCGCGAGAGTTGTGTTGCGACGCATCGTTCGCCCAACGTTCGCCAAAAAGAGAAGAGGAAAGAACGACCAGAAAATAGATTACAAACTCTGCTTTCGTCCTTCCTTTTCATTCGGCCTGGGCGATGTCTTTCTTACTCTTCTCAGCGACAACCCGGATAATTTCTTCTCTGTAGATGTTACCATCACCGACGATCTCACCGCTCTCAAACAAAAAATCGAGCAGACGAAGTCCTGTTGACCCAGAAGTAGGAGGAATTGCAGTTGGAGCAGCCATAGTATGTATGATCTATGTGTCCGGCAAATCGACGACTTCTCTGACGTAGATGTAAACGCAGATAAGGCCATCAACATTCTACTCCGTCAGTTATTGCGGAGCTTTTCAAGCCTATGCCACATCTCGAAAAACATGACTTGAAGCCCTCAATCTTATGACTCTGTCTCAAATTTATCCCATTCTCGTCGCAACGCATCAGGAGCGGGAACCTTTCGTTTGATGCTCGTTATTCCGTTGCCTAAGTATTATTCAAATCTAGAGACTTACGTCGTCCAAGGCCGTTGTGCGGTACCACGGCCTGCTCCTGCTTCTTTGGCTCTCATATCATCTTTCTACACATGTCAAAGAGTGATAGCCGGGGAATGGCACTGGACTGAGCTCCAAACCGCGTCCTTCATATGACGAAAGAGAAGGGCACGAAATTCTTTCCCTGTGGAACCGGATTTGGGAAATGTGTCTTGTTCGCCACGACATCCTTTACGGCTCCCAAACCCGGCAATATGAGTTGCGACGTCTCCTAACGCGTGTTGGTAGGTCATTTGATTTTGATATGATCCGCGGGATAACGCGGGATTGCTAGATTCGTAACTCGTCATTACGCAGTCTCACCTGTGGATCGTTTTGTGTTTTCACTGGAGTTAGTCCCTTGGTATGGCCAGAGGCCTACTAACATTTGATGGTTATCACGGCCAGGTAAAAACGTTTCGATGATAAAAATCTGCGTTTGACTATAATACAATCCTAGGTGACCTCATCTTCTCTATAATACTGCCCCTTCCTTCCTGTCGGCGATTTTCCCATCAAGCGAATAGCGATATATGCCATTACCAAGCGATCGAGCGATATATGCCATTACCTCAAGAGCATGCCTCAGGGTCTCTGTGCCTGCGACCAAATCCCTGGGATTTTTTCTTTTGGAAACACGACGTGCTTCATGGATGCCCCTCTAATGGCAATGCAATGCGGTAAGTCGTTAATGTTCAGACGTCAACCAGTCGTCGTTGTGTGGCACTCTGTTTTGGTACTTAAAGCCGCCTGAACTTTGAATGTCAAATCCGACCCTCCTCGCTTTCAGACGTGAAAGGATGGTCAAAGCTCAATCCCCGTACCAAGTTGTGGAAACCATTTTCATGCCGTATGTGCATCACGCTAGTCGCTCTACCCGCCCTGACGTTTTATCGATTGTGTGTCAGTGGATACATGGTCCGCGTCATCATCCTGGTATGTTCGAGCCCGTTACATGGTAGCGGACAAATCATACGAGAAATTCATGAAATCTTTGAACAGCGCCTCCCATCTCACAGTCGTCCTTTCGACTGCCTTTGCCATGTGCGCCGGCCCATTACTCTCTCCATTCGCTCGCGGTAAGACGAAACACCTTCACGCGAATACCCCTGCTAACGCGCTGGCGATCCATGCTTATAGTACCAATGGCCACACCTCTGTGACTCCTTCACGGGAGAAGCCTCAAGTCGCCCTCAACCAGTTCTTCTCAACAACCTCCGAAACCCCAGACTCAACCGCCAAAATTGCTTCGACTACGTCATGATAAACTACCCAAATGCAACAGCCCAAACGCTTTCATTTGCCGGCGCAGAGTTAGGCCGTCCCGGGCGACCTTCAACGAAATATCCAATCCGCATCAATCACCTCCTCCGGGAAAAGGAATCCCATCCCAATACAATGTGCAACAGCGGTCAACTCGACTGACGTTTCCCTTCCCATATATGACAGGGACTTTTCAACTATATCTTAATTTATAACTCCAGGACTCTGTGAACACCACGTATCTTTGACTGGTCCAAAGAGTGACAATTCATGACGCTCCGAGTTTTGTCCTTTGATACTCCTCATCAGATTCACGCCTGGCACTGGGATGTATAGCTATGCAGGCCGCTATCACGGAGCGCAACCACTGCAAGGTCCTGTGAGTCTGCCTAGGCTCTAGGAAATTCGGTTTTGACATCCTGGCTCCGGGCCTTCGCGTAGCGGTTATCTCTCAGAACAGCCTCAAATTTATGACCTTTGAGGTTTTTTTCATTTCTTTCTCTCCTCTCTCCAATAAATTTGTATTTGTAGAACCCAAAACAGATTGTTCTACCGAAGCTATCATATACATCATTCAAGATTGAAAACAGGGAAGGTACAAACAATTCAGGTTGATGTGTAGCGAAGGGTTAGGATGCGATGAACAGTACAAATTGCTTTATTCTGAACAGTGGTACAAGATTGAAAGAGACAAAGGTACAAGACGTGTTTCTTCTGTTAGAGTTATTCACGGCTTAAAATCGACGCCGTACGTATTTTATCTAAAAGTGAAAGAATCGATAGCCCTTCGGCCCATCTGGATGCATTCCATTTGTTATCCAATCTACATTATGCGAACATAAGAGGGGCCAGTGAGAAGATAATGTATATAGGAACTGAGACTTGCGGTATATTTATGCGTCTTTGTTTTTGCATGTGGGAACTCGTGCACCGGGTATGGAGGTATGGAAGGGTAGATTGAGAACAGCCCAAATGCTTCAATTTAATGTGCAGCGAAGGGACCTTCAATTCGATGAACAGTATCCATTCTTGAAGGAATCTCCTCTCTATTTAAGGAGAGCAGATTGAAGGCGGGTAGATGGCTGAGAGCGCAGTTGCTATGGAGTGAGGGAAAACAAGTTTATGGCTGATGAAGGCAACTTCTGAGTTTGCTGGGAATCAAATTTTGATACTTACAAAAAGGGTGTGAAGCTGCGTAAAAAGTCCATCTACAAGATTGAAAGAGGCGAAGGTACAGCTGCGAGTGATCCTCCGAAACAACTTGGGAGACGAAAGTGCTTCATCCCGAATCACGTCATCTTCTTCATGAGTCCCAGCTTCATCAGCGTCCCACTTCACAAATTGGATTCAAAGCTACAGAATAATACGAGCGCCCATCTCCAAAGAAAGGAAAACGGGTGATGGGTAAGTTAACCCCAACGCCGCCCATCTCCACCGCCTCCGTCATCAAGGACCCCATTAGCTGAGAACCTGGATACCTAGCAACGTTTCCGCCAATTGTCATGGCATTGCGTCCATTGATAAAGTCGGGGTCGACGATACTTGGATGTAGAAGCGCGGACGCGGAACTTGGATAGCGAAAGTGATGATGAGCCATTTAGTGGATGCATGGGAGATCATGTTGGTGGGTTGGTTGGGCTGTTCCTCTCTGAGATATCAGAATCGAGTAAAGAAGGCCAACAAGAAAACTCACAATCTTCCCATCTTTGACCCTGTCACCAGTTCCATCGGGTTTTCATTCTGAAATAGACGCTGGTTGCCCTTCTTGTCCCGATAGGACTTGCAAATGATCTCGTTCGGATCGGTATTGAGCTCTCCATCTTTCGCCCACGCGCAATTCCACATGTAGCTATCAATGAGGGACCACTTGCGCCCGTTATCCCTGGAGCACTGGGCTTCTGCATGACAGCTTTGCGCTTGGGCCGAGCAGCCTCTGTTGCCCGTCCAGATGAGGTTGTCAGTGTTCGGGTGGAAGTGTATGACTTGTGCTCCGAAGGTGTTTGGTGGAGTTGGGGCTTTGGCTCAGATCCACGTTCGTCCGGTATCGGTTGGGTAGAAGGTGTCGGTGTCGGTGATGAGGTAGGCACGATCGTCCGAGTAGTTGTGGTGGTAGAATGCAAGGAAGCGGTGTTCAGGGTAAATTTGTGTCCAGTTGTAACCTTCGTTGCTGAATTGCCACATGGTGTGGTCCATGAGACGAACCAGAATGGTTTTGACCTGGGCAGACGTCAGAACGAGAGAGATACGGCGTCGATAGGACAGCTTACTTTGGGGTTCTTGAAGTACGCGTGTTGCACCATCTGATGTTTGAAGTCATGCTGCGAAAGGTTAAGTTCAATGCGAATGAAATACAATGGTCAAAGCTTACAATTTGGTGGGTGATTCCCCCGGGAGCAGGTTGCGCTGTTGGTGGTAATCAGAAATGTCTCAAGCCAACAATGACGAAAAAGCAAACCTTGCAAACACTTCTTATCAACTTTCTCGTCCTTCTTGACGCCATCAACGCAGGTATTCCCAGGAATCTTCCTCCATCCCAAGGAGCCCTTGTACGTCTGGTCAGGGTTCCCAGTACTTACGCCAGCAGGTATCGGCTCCGGCCCAACGGGGACGCAATCCTTTCCATTTCGGACGAAATTGTAGTCGCTAAGGTAAAGAAGAGGTTAGATTTGGTAGTAAGTGAGAGATAAGAACGTACCATTCGTAATCTTCCTCCGTACACTGACAATTACCCTCATGCTTCATGGGGTCCATATACTTCTCTCCAACATAGCAATCCGAGTCCGGTTTTCGGCGTTTGTACCATTGCTACGGAAATGCTGTTTAGATAAAGCCACACAGAATAGAACGGGTGAAACGAACGCTGTGGCCCATCAAGCACTCTGTCTTGGAAGTGCGTGCATACCATTTCTCGAAATCTCCCTCCACACACTTGCGTTTCCTCGTCCCGGAATAGTCGAGTTGGATGATGACGACACGTCCAGTCTCCTTTGTCTGGTCTTTCCGCGCTACTTGCCCTAGCAGCGGGAACATTTGTGAGGTCGAGTCGGGGAGGGTCATGAGCGCCCTCGCTCAGAATTTGATGCCTATGTCGTCTTTCTGCCTGTTGGGAAAGTTAGCATTTGAAAAGACAGACGAGGAAGGTGAACGGACCATGATTTACCCAGGTCGAGAGAATACCGCACGTTGTCCGTCCCGTCCTCGTCATTCACGATCACCAGGATGCTCCCCTTGTCGCCAAACTCGTACTTGTGCGCGTCTCGTCGGACCATCTGCCACGTCACGCCGGCGTCTGTGCTGATACATGTGTCGCTTTCGTCGTATGGCAAGAGGCTCTCGCCTATCGACCCAACGCCCATAGAAAACCCAGGTGCTGGTGACGAGAAGATGTGCCCATAGTTGTGTGGGGTTGTGACGGAATGGAGATGGAGTGAGCAAAGGTCGGTGTCAGCGGGGTCGCATGAAATGCGTTTGCCCTCGCTGTCTCGAGGTGGAGGGCGGAGCGAGGTCCATGTGCTGCCTGTAATGGGTTAGATGAAACAGATGTCAAAAAACCAAGCGACGTACCATCGTCAAAAGTGATCATTGTCAACTGCTTCCGTGCCCCTCGCCCCTCGACATCCTTCGCGTTTGAAACAACGTTGGCAAGGCCCACGCCATCGACGCCGTACAGTTTCTCGTAGTCGACGTACCCCATATCGTTCCTGTTCGTGTCCTTCAAACTCTCGACGAAGAAGTCCTTCAATGCAACAACGGCGTATTTGGGGACTATGGCGAAGGCAATGGCGCCCTTAGTATTCTTCCCAATGCCGAGCTCCTCAACTTTGCGGTCTTTGTCGAAGAAGTCGGTGCTGGAGAAGAGGCGGCTGGAGGAGAGGGCGTGGGAGCCGTCGACGCTTGAGGTGTCAAAGGCGACGCAATAGATTAGGTCGGAGTGAGCTTCGTGCTTGAAGTCTTTGCTACTGTGAGCAAACTGACAACGCGAAGTTTCGGAGAGGAGGTGTTTGGGGGTGTCGCTGAAAGCTTCTTTGGTGTAACAAGTCTATAATATTATGTTGAATTATGAGTCAGAAAAAGTGGGAACGACATACCTCGTTGTGGCAAACGGCGCCCCACCTTTGGCGGTTACATGCTTTCCCTGAGAAATATGGATTCCCATTTCTTGGGATCCGAATGGAACAACAGCGGGTTGGCGACGAGATGGGGGGTACTGGAACTTGAAAAGAGCGCCACATCTTTCCGCGGTCCTCGGTGCGGTAGTGAATCTTGCTATCAGTGAGCGCGAATGCCTTGAAACCATAAAAACATCAGCCGAGGTCATTCTAAACTTTCTGGGGAAACTCACGCGTTGTCAAATGGGTGCTTGAGTACCAATGTTCTTCTGCCGTACTCCGCGACTTTCCCTCATCCTGCAACACGTAGACATTCCCATCGAGTGGATCGGCACTGTGCCCTTCCAACAATTCACGCAAGTTTATCGCTGGAGACTCAAAAGGAGTAGACGATGTCCTGAAAACCGATGTCAACATACAATATCTGAACTCCTAAATCAACCATAAGCCTTTGGTTGATCCTTCGGTGCAACAAATTACTATAACTCACTTTGGAATCACTCTCCCAGTCGTTTCCCCCTCTTTAACACAAATGTCCTACTTCCCCTCTACATCACTTGCGCCCCTTGGATTGAGCTGTCGTACCAACGTTGTCACGGCATTCAAATCAATCACCATATTTCGCGCCATTGCTAAGCGCATCGCGCCATTTGACACTGATGTGTACCAGGCTGGGTATTGGTGGCGGCGTGAATCCCTGTTTGGTGGCGTAGGATGCTGCAAAAAGAGTAGGCGGAGCAAGCGGTTGGTGGGCAACATGTCACTGAAGGGGGTGGAGGTCGTTTGTCGTTAGAAGGGATTGTCGAGGTCGTGGGCTAACTGAGTGCCAAGCGCTCCGCACTCATGTCTAGCACGTGTCCGGACACCGGCAACCATCAGCCGGATCTATTTTTGAATCGACAGGGTAGCGACCAAGTAGCGACGGGATCACCCCCTCAAAGGCCAATTACCACCAGACAAAGAATTGGCCTCTGAGGCCGTCTAGCACTTGAGAAGCGTCAGGCCTGAGGTGTAACAAGTAATGGAAGACACGGATGATCGAGGAATCGGAGAAGATGGTAATAGATATGGCGACTCGTCTGGGGTGACAGCATTACAGTGCTTTGCATTGCCGTTTGCACACCGAAATCGCAAAAATTATGTTTGATTTTGTATGTTCGTCACAGATTGTCACGCATCAGGACGAGATCTGAGCACTTTGGGAATTTTGTATTTCTTAAACCCAACTTTTGTTGCGCCTCAGGTATCGGATGAGATGCGCGCGCGAATCATTGTTTGCCATGATGAGCAATATCTTTCACCGCAGGAGATTGCAGGCCTTGTTGGATGTTGTGTCTGGTAAGCGGTCTCTTACTTCCCGATTTGAGGGTCACGGTACAACACACACAAACACGATTTCCAAAACTCGTTGTGCAAACGGCAGTGCAAAGCACTGTAACAACATGATTAGTGCCGTTCACGGTTACCGTTTTTGATTCGTTTTTGATCTCGTTTTTCATTTCATTTTTCTGAAAAATGGAATCAAAAACGATCCGAAAACGCCATTTTTCAAAAACAGCTACCGTGTCCGTTTTTGATGCATTTCTGTTTTTCGTCCATTTTTCACCCATTTTTCGTGTTCAGCTAGCTTTCAAGTCGCCGCAGGGCGGTTCAGTGTTGTCCGGTCTTTTTGTTCCTTCCCGATATGGTAATGACTTTATTCGATTCACCGTTCGCAATATAGAACAAGCAAAAAAATTGAAATAAAATACTCTTGATATACTGAAAACCATTTAGTTGAGACTCAAGGAAGAGTTGTGGCAGACAGATAACCTTGGAAAAGTGATAAGATAAAGCGGGGTCTGCAACAACATGCGGAGCTCAAGGCTGCCGGGGTGCCGAAAAATGTGCGCTTTCAATTTTCACTCGTTTTTGACCTCATTTTTGAATATTTCAAGGAGGGCGGGTTCACAGTAGCCATTTTTCACTTCATTTTTCACTTCATTTTTGACATTCTATGTCTACAAAACAAACAAAAAATGGATCAAAAATGGATCAAAAATGAATCAAAAATGGCTACCGTGAGCACCCCTATTGTCATTGCTTTTGGAAACGAGGCTTTTGGAGATGATCTGGAAAAATTAAAGAAGAAAGGACTCACCCCTCCGAAGTATTTGGAGAAGCCGGGCTTTTGAGGGGTCCTGAGGTGTTCGAGTTTGTTGCGTGGTAGAAGTTGCAGAACACTAGTCTGGGCCAGTGCTGTACGGTTTGTCTCTAGCCTAGCACCCCCATTTCTAAATTTTTTGTCCAGATCGGTATCTACCAGTAGCATTTTCAGGGGTCCTCATCAGACATCCCGATACAATTCTCGGCGTTTTTGATCCTCGATGACCTCGATTGCATCTCTTGAAATTCGAAGGCCCGAACCAGGATTTTCCTTCACCTATGATTGCATCAGTAAATATGGTCGAACTCTTCAAATCTCCGAACTTTTATCACTGGAGCTACGCTACCTGCTTCGTTCCGGTGGCAAAAGGAATTTAAGAATTGAGAAGTTGAAGAAGACATCTTTCGACGGTCTACGCAATGCGATCCGTGGGGAAATTACTGAAAGGAACGTACAGCGTTAGACGCTCCAGCAATAACCGGCCCCAGTACAAACCCTCCAAAACAACTTGGTTTACGATGTTCAACTTGTTCGAGCGTAGATCAAGAGCTTGAGTCACCGGGTACAATTCACCAAGCAAGCTAAATTCCCCTCCCTCAGGCATGAAGATCAGTTGTGATGAGAAGACCGCCTCGACAATTGTGAATGAAGCTTCAGGAATCTGATCGATGAAAACGCATGTGAAGAATTTCAGCACCTTAAGTTGGAAACTATACGAAAAGATGGGCACGTATCACTGAAAAAATAGGTGAACTTAGGTTTGACTTACATAAAAACCAAAGAGACCGCATTTTTAGACATTCACATTCAACTTTAGCCAGCCGAATTGGAGTCCGTAGGATAGAGATTTCGACGAAAATTGTATTAGAATCGCGCTATATTTTACGTTATAGAAAGTCGAAGACCCAACTCAATCATAAAGTGCTGAACAAAAAAGTCCGATTCAGAGAGGAACGAAGTTGAAAATGTCCAAAATAGAATGGAATGTTAACGGATATGAAATCCTAAGCACCGAATATGACATTCATCATCTTCAATACAATCCTGGCCTTCTAAAAGAACGTTTAAGCAAGTGAACATGAGCCAAAAACGAGAGAGACAGACGTGGGAGTGACAGTGGGTGCTGAGCCATCGGGGTGGACAGTAGAAGAGCACAAAAATCGCGTCAGAGAGATTTTAAACCATACACACATCAACATCAGGAACGCCAGAAAGCTTGGGCGTTTCATCAACAGGTGGTACGGAAGGGAGGACAGACGCTGCGGGAGAGTCGGGCGCGGGAACAGGTGGGACATCAGATGATGCAGGGCCTTTTCCAGGTGCACTGGGATAGATGGCGACGTGCAAGAAGGGCATGTAATGGAATCCCCACTGTCCAGGTCGACGTTGTCAATATGTTCGGTGAGTGCACCTCTCTCACAAACGAAACATGCTTTCCCTAATGAAAAACTGACAGGTTACATGTCAGTGAGTGACGTTTTCGGATTTTTACAAAATCTGCAGACATACCCAATCGTTCGCGGTAAGGATATTCGATTCCGGTCCCAATTTTTGGAATTGATTTGATGTCTGACGCTTTCAGGATCTCCGAAATGTTTGCTGCAAGCGCAACCAGAAAGTGGCTGTCCAACAAATAAAATATCGGGTCCTTCACCGATTTTGGCGTTGACGTATTTGTCAGGTGTCAAGTCATCAAACCCGACATGAAAATCCATAAAGACTAGGGGAGATACTTATAAGGTTGTATATGGGTGATTGAGGTTCAAGCAGATTCTTGAAGGTGAGCAACACCATGGCAGATCCTCGACATTTCTCGCCGTCAGATGCGAGAGAGGTGCCTCGAAGGTTGATGAAGTCGCGTTTATGATCCACCGCATCTAGAGTTGTCTGGAGGGTGATAGTGTGATCCTCTCCCGGCTCCTTTTTTCAGTCTCCAGATATCATTATTACTCTTGCAGGGTATATGCGATTGTGTTTGCAAAGGATTCGAAGTGCACCCACCGTGGCCTATAAATAGAAGGATCAACGGAACCAAATGACCCAAAGTAGAACATTCACCTCCTTTGCAAAGTTTGCATAATGGACATCATCGTCATCTAGGCACTGAAATAATTCCTCCAGATCACCCTCATTCACAAACTTGAGAGATGTTTTGCCACCATGCTCTCGACAGACTCCCGAGAAGACGTCCCGATCTCGATCAACCCTGATTCTCTTATCGGCAGCGATTTCATCAAGCATCAAGACCGCGTGAAGAACATCACCTTGGGCTCGAACCACATCCATCACGCTCTTGAAAGATGCTACAATGTTTGCTTCGATCTCGACAACGGATGGTACTGTATAGGAAGGGATAATGGGAGGCACAATGGTTCGTGTGCCCAGTGTGGTGCGGCTTGGTAAGCCCAGCGCTTTTTGTCCAAACGACGCCAATCGGCCTCCTCCCAGGCACAACAAAACTAATGACATCATTGCCTCCTTCTCACTGTGGCTCTTGGGTTTGTATAGCCCTGTGTAGCTGCCCCATCCAACAGGTTCAAGATCGCCTGGATCCCTTTTTTTTTGCGCCAAAGCAATCCGTACAAGCCGATCGACATGCTCAATACTTCCACTTGTGATAGTGTTCACAAATCACTTGTGGTTATCGAGAGCCCTTGCCTTCCAAAGCAGGCTGCGTGCTTGATTAAGCCCCTTCAGTCGGTAAAAGTCGATATGCTCGTCACGGTCGGTTTTTGGAGAAGATGAATAAGGCCATCAATTCCATGGAAGATGAAAGGTGCGTTTTCGTGGATTCCATGCTCCATCCTGCTAAGGATTTCTTCCAATCTCTCATTTCTTCCAAGTTCTTGACAGTCCTGGCAGCAATTGCCAGTAACGGTGCGTAATCCACGACATCTGTTAGCAAATAGAGCCATGACATTGCCCTGGACAGAGTATGACCATAGAGGGGGGTTCCGGCTTCCATGAATTGCGAACGGATACGCTCCATGGGGCGATCGCCCGTCAGGAAGGTCTGGCCTATACCCTCGGCAAGTTGACGTCGCTGAATCGCTTCCTGCCGTTGTAGTTTCAGGTCGCATGGTTGAACTAAGTAGTGCCTGGACTGAAAATTTCGATAGGATTTTCCTCAATCTCTGCGTCGCTGTCAATTGTATCGCTTCTTGTGGATGGTTCGTCTCTACCCATAACGTTTCTTGCTCTCAGATGTCAGCTACGTGTTCATGTTTTAATGAGATTCAACACTGACATGGCTTTCTCTGCGCACTCAGTCAAACGCAAAAAGGAAAAGATTAAGGAGAGACGAACTGTAACTTGGCAAGAGACTGCATTTCATTCCCCACACCAATCTCATCGCTTCATATTCTATGTGTTCAAAGCATGACAGAGGCTGAAATTTCACATACCTTGAAAGCATCGCAGCGAACCCTGCTATGCCGAAATATCTCGCAAGCTTGGCAGAGGCAAGTTGCCAATGAGATGTGCCCCTCAGCCGCTCCGACCTCACAGAAGGAGACCCCATCCCAGGATCAGTTGAAGTTGCACAAGAGTAGAAACAGGCTCACTGCCGCGAACGGCTACACCATCGTCAGGAAGACTTGTGGTCAACAATTCTAATACATCCGTCATCTCGCAGCAGCTGGCGGCACGTTAGAAACATGGAGTAAGGAGAGCCGCCTCCGCCCTAAGGAAACGATGTAATGAACAAGAGGGAAATGCATGATGTGGAGCATACCATCCCGAGTACTCCACACCCCTCCATAAAGATTACTTCGTGGTCAGCTCAATATTTCAGTAAAATCTATAGGTCGGTCTCCGTTAAAATCCACTCGTTACCAACAATCGAGGGTCTGTACATTGAATAGTCGGCAAATTGATGGGTGGCCATCAGGTCAGAGGCATTTGCTCGTTTAAATGGTGTACAAACAGAAAGTGCATGTGAGAAAAGGAAAAAAAATCTAAGAGTAAGAGTGTCTAAAGCCCACAAAACCTAGAAAGAGGTCCCCTACATGATGATACACTTGCCCTGCCTCTTCTCTTTTGTTTTGGTGGGCACTGAGCCCCCAGGTTGTCGTAGTGCACGAACAAGGTTCATGAAGAGGCGCTCTACGTTCTGCGCTGTCTTGGCCGAGGTCTCTAGGAATTCACAGCCGAAGCGCCGCGCCATTGCGGCACCTTCCTCCTTTGACACCTCTCGCTCAGAGGTCTTGTCACACTTGTTGCCCACCAAGATGAACACGGGGTTACCCCGCTTGACTCGGCACATTGACTGGCGAAAAACCTCAAGCCGATTGAATGTTGACCGGGAGGTGACGGAATACACTAAGATAAATCCTTGCCCCTCTCTGAACACCCATAAGCTAGGGTAACGAGGCATACTAATATGACTCACCGGACCCACTGATCACGCAATGTGGCATATTCCTCTGGTGTTTGGTGAGTAATGAGAAGTATCAGGGGCAGAAAGAACGCGCACCCTGTCCAGCAGTGTCAATGACCTCTACAAAACACATCCTATTGTCTACCACCAACTGCTTTCGGTACGCATCTTCAATCGTGGGATCGTACGTCTACAGATCCATTAGAGAGTATTGGAGAACAATAAGTGAGAGGAGTACCTCTGATGAATGACAATACTCAGTTGATCGTTGTACAATAGAAACGAGAGGTTAAAGGCTTACCAACGAAAGAGTTGAGGGTAAACTAGGTGAAAAAGCGTTAATTTGCAAGTTCAATCGTGTTTGTGACAAGGGGTGGGCGCACCTGGACAGCTAGCGCTGTTTTGCCCACGCCGCCGTCGCCTAGCACAGCTACTCTCCAGTTGTCCATTCTACAATTGGAGGTGAGTAGCGAGGACAGAATGCAATCGGACGGGGACAAACTTCAAACTTGAAATGGTCAGGGCAATTGTAAACGAGAGTGGGTTGGGGGTTGAAGAGACAAAAATGACGGATTTGTAGGTAGGAGGCCAAAGACGAGAAGAGAGGTGAATGGCAAGGAGGATAAAAGGCGGGAATCGTCGTCACGGTGCATAGTTTGTGGACAGGTCATAATATTGACAGAGACTGTCAGATCCACCGTCAGATCTTGACAGTTATGTCAGTTACAACCGGCCGGCGTTCAAATAACCGCATTAAAAAATGCAAGGCTCCAAATATGAAGCCCATTCCAACCTCATCTATTGCGTCGCCTTCGGCACCTCAAGTGTAGTGGCTCTCGCGTCCTCTCCTCCAGTCACCTCAGCGACTTCTTCACAAAAGACCGCAAACCCGAGGACATCGGCATGGGGAGGAGCACAAAGGATTACTCCAACCCTGCACTAACCTTTAAGGGAAAGAACTGGCCCAGCGGCCGTTGGTTTTACCTTCCCTGGGTGGCGGGAACCCATTTAGAGAAAGAATATGAATCCAAGAGGGAAACATATGTGAAGTTTGGGACAAATAGTAAGGATGATAGACGTACTATCCACTTCCACACCTTCCCGCTCCCTCTCTACGCCGCCTGCTCGACTATCCACCCATGTTCTCTCAATGATGGAGTCTTTTCCGACATCTGTTATCGACATCGAGCTAATGATGCACAATCATGTTAAGTATTCACGGAACGTCTCATTCCGTTGTAAACAACTTACTACCCTACATCCTACACCTCTGAAGAAGACGTCACGTCTATCGTCGTCCTGCATGTTGGAAAGCGCCAACGCTGGGCTTTGTTTAGAGCTCAAGGGGGCGGTAGATCGGGTGAGCGTTGACCCGAGCGAATCGAGCATGGAGGTTAGTTCGAGGTGGGGTAGGGCACCGATGTCGTCTGTATCGTATTGTTTTAGATATTGACGCCAGAACCGTTGTCTCAGTGCGTCGTAGGGTTGGTATTTCGCTCTGCGAAGAAGATGAGTGAGAATGTTGGAAGGTCAGAATGAAGGGAATACGAACCGAAAACTCAAAATAGGACCAGACTTGCCCTCCCAAGACGAACTCCCCACCAACGGAAGCCTATAATCCACCATAGGATGATCTCCCCCTCATCGACGGCATATAACCCCGTAACTGGATCAGGCTGCGGCGCACTTTCCACCAAGCCCCCAACATCAAAACTCACGTCCCCAACATAATCACTCGACGAAAGCTTATCCCAATCCAAGATGGCCAAAGTGACCTTGAACGACATTTCGTACCGACGAACGTGGAATAAGAGCTTCTCGTCCCAGACGGGGTTACGTGAGTGTCTTATGACGCGGGTTCGGAACACCTTTTTGCCGAAGGAGACGACGACGAAGGGATCCATGTCCCATACTGTTCGCGTCACTGATTGAATAATTTGATTAGTACCAATACCAAACGAGAAGAAGGAAGAAGGCGACTCACGATTCTTGAACCTCGGCAAATCAACAGCACCCTGGTTCTCAAGCATAACAATCCCCACAACGTCATTAGCCTCCGAACCAAACTTGTACGCCTCACTACTCTTCCTACTGAACCTCTTCTTCTTCCCACCAGCACCCACATCCCCTCCATCAATCCCCAGCCCAGGCGAAGAAGGCACAGGGGAAGCAGGAGGACGAGGAACAGGCGACGCACTCCTCGAGCGGGATTGAGCCTTCGTCCCACCCTCACCACCACCAATCCCAGTAAGCCCCGATATCTTCCTCGTAAACTTCATTTTGGGCATGAACCCACCACTCGTCGCTTTTGGCGTCGGCTGCGTGAGTGGCGTGGCTGTTTTGAGGGCTGCGCTGTGTGTAGGCGTCGTACTACCACCGGGAGAACTTGGCTGAATGATGAGTTCGGGTGGGGGAGGCCTGATTCCCGTGGTAGCAGCGGTGACGAGCGGTGGTAATGCTTTGTCGGCTTCGGTTGGTGTTGGTGGTGTGTATAGCTCTGTGAGAGGGAGGTTGTTGGTGATAGCGCCTTGATCTTCGTGGGCATCGACGAATTCGTCTTCGCCTTCCTCTTCGTCATCTTCGTCGTCTGAAGAGAGCCCTCCGTCGTCTTGGAAAGCGTATTGGTTCCCGTTGGCGTGATGCGAGCGGATGGTGCCGACGCCTTCTGTCTGAATGGTCAAGTACGTTAGATGGGAGGGGAGGAGCAAAACAGGAACGTACAGCAGGAGTCGAGACCAAAGAAGGCCTAGAGCGCTTAACGAACTCTCCGTAAATCTCATCGTACTCTAAAAGGTTATGCGTTCCATGCGGGGGGATGAATCCAATCTTGAGCTGAATGCTACCCGTAGCAGCTGTATTGGGTCGCGTCGATAAGAGGTCGACAGAAAAAGGCTATCATCCCCGTAAGCCAAAGACAAAAAAAAAGCCACATATGATATGACGAACCTTATTTCCAGGCTCATCAAACCCCAAAACATTCTCCTCGCCCTCGCCTCTGAACCAAGATTCCAAAGACAAAGCCACCTCGCCTAGATACTCCTTCGATAACATGTCCTTATCCCATACCACCAACTCCACCCCAACGAGCTTATCAGCTAGGGAGAGGTAGAGCGGGAATTCGAACGTTGCGTCTTTGGGGTTATACACGGGGTTCAAAGTCCGTTTGGCGACGGGGGTTTGGTGACGCATCGACAGAACCGAAACGACGACGAATCTAAAACATAACAAGATGGATGAGCTTAGTACGTTATGAGAAATGGATAAGAGAGAGACGCACGGATCGCTAGCGCCATTCCTATCCTTCGCCAAGAGCTGGGTACATCCGATGATTTGGATCTTGCATATGACGATGGGGAGTTCTCCGGGGGCAGGCGAGAAATTGTTACGCCCCGATCCACTTTTGAAACCTAGGCCTTTCGGGACGGGAAGGCGTGTAGCGGATTTGAAGGCGCGTTTGAAGTTGAGCCCTTTTGTGGGGCGGGGTGGTGGTAGTGGTGGTGGGGTTGTGGAGTCCATGTGGTATTGGTGGTGTATGAAGAGAGTGCCCCGAGTGATGCCACGTACTTATCGCAGAGACGAAGTGAAACGGGCGATGAGCGCCGTCAACGGAGATGAATGGTCAACGGGGGGCGATGATACAGATCGGAGTTCGTGGGCGCCCGTTTCTTCAGATTAAATGAAGGATAATCCAACTAGAATGGCTCTATATTCTCATTCTATCCTTCCCGTCGTCCTAGTCAGATACAGGGGTCTTATTGAAGGAAAGAAGTGCTCACCACGCAATGAAGAGGATGTGTGGGCGTATCGATGGTTGCAGCGTGATATTATTTGTACACCTGCAAACGGCGCCGTTCGGCTGTTGGAGACTGGCCAAAAATACTTTTAGACAAGTCATCATCGACATCCTGGGATCGATGAGCACAGCACTTGCCTGTTCAATTCCGCAGAGATCAAAGCTGGAGTTGCGAGCGACGATGGGCAAGAAGTGAGAAAGAGAAAGACAGCCGTCGTTACTAGGCTGTTGTTGCTAGCGTGAAACGTTTGTCGTCGTCGTGATGTCGTCGCCGTCGTCTTGGAGCATCGAAATCAGCTATTATTTGGCATCATCCCCCATTTCAAATACACTATGTAGGCCGAGAGTTTTTAGTAAGACCTCTTGTGTGTTCTCCTAAAACACTCAACGAGTCGACTTCTGCAAGGACTCACCGAGCCACTGTTTGCCACAGCAAAAAGTATTCCAAAGGAAGAGGGCGGCCCATCGGCCTCTAAGCTCATCAATGCCCAAGCTTTCTTGAAGCTTTCACGAACTTTCAAGCCTCGCCAGCTCGTTGTGATGCAATACTTATATGCCACCACCCCCTTTCACCTCCCTGCTCTGATTTTTGTTACTTATATAAGTTCTCAAACGGGTATGATTTGATCATCCTGATGTTTTCAAACCGCAGAGCGTCAACTGAGGTAGGTTTATCAAATGACGTCGCGCCTTCCAAGTCCTTCTGAAGACCGCTCAGTAACCAGTCTACAGATTTCAAACTTATCAAGTTGCGAGGTTTAGTGCCCCTATCACAATTAGTCGCTTTCTATCTTGATCTGGAACATCTCAACAACTGCATGTCCAAAAGTCCTCTCCGACACGCCAATTCAGGCCAATTCCCAGGTTACTGTAGTCAAACCGCCGCCCCTTCGTCTCCCTTTACCCACTCAATACTTGGATGAATCTTGGAAACTTAGATTTTTAGGTCGCTCTTTGAAGGTATGTTGTGATCTGCCTCCGTGCCCCATCGGGACTTTCACATTTTACTTTTTTCGACTTGTGCAAGTCGCTACAAGTCGAAAAAGGCGGAAAAGCCGCAAGTTAAAAAGCCAGGCCAAATTTTGTGAAAAGCGGCTATTGGCAAGCAAACGAAAAAGTTGAAAAAGTCACGGAAAAGAGCAATCAAGGCAAAACTAGCAACTAAAGTGTAAATCTACTGAACTACATAGTCTACTCAACTTCATGGAAATCTGCCTAGCTTGGAGAGATGCATAGAGAATCTGTCAGAGGGAAATTTATAAGAGGAAAATTCAAGAACATGGAATGACACACCAGCCTGAGATTGCCTTCTGAACCTGCCACAATCCATCATCAACAAGTGTCCAAAACACGATGTGACTGCATGCTATGGTTTCAGTAAATGCAGCAGCACCCGCATGGTACATGCAGCAGACCAAGCGGGGTAGAGGGGAAGGCTGGTAGATGAGAGTTGAAGAGAAGAATGTGACGTGGAGGTGTTTGGCTGTATTGATCAAATATTCAACTCACGTGGTGCTGCCATCAGCCACGTCGTCACGGTCCGACGTCTCTTCCTTCTTACCATCACCACCCCTTCGCCAACTTCTGCAACATCCTCAGACTCTGTATGCTGCCAGAGACGACACCACTCCTTGATGCTGTAGCATGACCTATTCCATCCATGGACTGCCGGTACAGAGTTCTCCTTCCCTCTCTCATAGTGTGTGCCACTCAATTACTTCACAGCTCAGGCCGTTTGTTGCTGAGAATCTGAAGGGAAGATAGGTCTGAGTGGTGGAGGGGGTTTGAGGTAGATTAATATTGTAGTTTTTTTGTAATCTAAGTGTATCTTGAGATCTGCTAGGATATCATATTTTCGGTAGATTAGCTTTCCAGCTTTTACACTTTTCAGCTGGTCGCAAGCTAAAAAGCAGCTAAAAGCCGGAAAGTAAATTGTTAACTTGCTGATGCCGGCGCCTCCTCTGCTCTATCAGATATATATTTCGTTACAGAAAGGGGTCGTTCTTACGACCCACAGGAGCTCCGGCGGTCGTCTTGGCAGCTGATCGCCGCCTCCCACCTACTCAGCAGCTTTTAGCGATTTTTACAGTACAAGAGAGTACGAGCCCAAGCCTATTTCACATGGTAATACATAACACACTCGGTAAGCCTAGATTCCAGATTCGCAACGGCTCTCTTAATTTATCTCATTTCTAAATGATGGTGGATAGTCCCGCTCAAAAGTACTAGGAACATATTAACGACGCTTCGCTCACCCCTCCCTCGCGTTTCCTCCTCGGTGGTCACCATTCCATGACCGCGTTCAGTCTCGCCAGTTTGATCTCGCTACTTTATCATGCAAATACGAGTCACGTACGTCTTTCTTCCGCCCTTTCCCATGAAAAAAAAAACCTCTTGGTAGCGCACAACCAGTTCGTTCCGATCAATCTCGACGGCTCCTCAGAAGAAGCTTGTTGTACGACATTCCAAGTCAACGGCTGTACGTCTCTTCATCTTCACTTCTCCCCCCCTTTTTTTCGCTAATCCCGAAAACTAGGGATGTTCGCAATCGGAATTTCAGTCACCGAAAGTAAGACAACCTCCGCCACATTCCCCAATCACGAAATTAACCACTTCCTTGTGTAAAAAAAAGTCCTCCTAACGATGAGAGCATGGGCGATCTGGGGTAAAGATTCCAGGCTTACCATCATCCTCCCGATTCTTTGGGCGCTATGCTTTGGTGGGGTGTTCACTTTCATGGGGGTTTTTCTCAAATCCGTGACGTGTGAGTGTTTTTTTTTTTTTGCGTTGTACCATTTATTCATTGCTTACTTTTTCCATACACAGTTATCCCGCCCCCTCGAGGAGCCGGATATCAATCAGCGGGATGCTTCAACATCGGCGGCAGCCCGATGTTATTCGCTTGTTGGGTGTTCGTTATGGCTTATGATCTAGGTGAGAAACACTTGATTACTTACATGGACGCTTACTTCTACCCATCGTGTGCAGTTCTGCTGATATTGATTGCGATCAAGGGACTTCCGGCGCGTGCGTATCCTGTCGATCTTCATGCGCGCAATTGGAACTGAGGTTTTTTGTTTTGTAGTGAGAATGACCACATCCTCACATCGGAGACTCGCAAATGCGGTGTTCCTGAATGGACTGATTTACTATTTCTACCTCTTCGGTTCGTCCCTCTACCCTTCGTTTACATGGTCAAGAGCGTTGAACCCTTTTCTTGTCCTCCAGTCATGTCGGCCATTAACGTCGTTCTCATATATCCAGTATGTTCCCCCCACCTACAACCTCCCGTCTATATCAAACTCATCTCACTTAGTATGCCTACCACAACCTTCTCTCAACGTAATCTCTTCTCCATCTCCATCTCGTCATCAGCTTATCTCACCTCCATTCTCACAGGTTCGAACAAGCGATGTACTCTATCCTAACTTGCTGTGTCATCCTTGACATCCGCACTGAAACGAAAGAGAGCCTCGAAATATCCAGCCCTAATTATTCAGCAAGGCTTCTGAATCGGTCTAAACAATGATTAATCCTTTCTGATTCTCTATATATTAACTTCCTTTTGAGTTCTAAACTATTACTTATGCATGGTGGACTCGGAGGATCTACTTATTCCTTCGGTCGTTGGTCATGTAACTATGTATCAATTAAGCTTGAGTTAACATACACGACTTAATTCCGAACTGTTATAAGATGATGTGTGACGAACCATCCCCGTCTGGAGAACCAGAAATTTGCGTGGCCTTGCAGGTTTGCATAGGTAGGTTGATGCGGGGCACGAGTCAAGAAGCGTACTTAGACGGCACCATTCGATATGTATCTTCCCCATCATTTCATCATCATCTTTATGGTCCCAAATTCAACACAATTTCCTGCAATACTTTGAGCTCCATCCCTCCCAACTGCACAAATTGGTAGTCAGGATCTACTGGGCTATCACTCTTCACATGTTCCTCCAGAGTTCCATCCTACAGAGTTCTCCTCATCTTTGCTGTCTCTCTCATACAGCCATAGCCCTTCACCCATTCCATCCATGGATTTTCCTACATCTGGAGCCCAGGCTTCTCCATCATTTAGCCTGGACCTAGAATTGCATCAGTTCTTGGCAAAAAATGCTGCTACACAGAATCCAGATGGATCAACTGACATGCCATCACCACATATGAATGTTCCATCCTCAGTACCCCCAACTACACCACCCAGTGTTGATCAATTGGTGATACTCTATGGAATCACAGATACTGGATAAAAAAAAGAGGCAGTATATGCATCAGGTGCAAACAATAATGCATCTTTGATCAGTATGGCAAAAAACTTCTGATCCATGGCTTTGATTCTCAAAAAACTCGGTATGATCTCACATGGAGAGTGCTCATACGCAATATCCGTGCTACAAATCAATTGTGCAGGGACCACTTTCCATCATGACGGCATTCTGAAACATTTTTCATGGTCCCTGGCATCATTCCGCAAGAAAGCAGCCACTTACGCCTGGGCAGAGGAGGCAGCATTGCAGCAATGGAGCTCTGTTGAAATACCAGGAACTTTCTTTTTTTAAAACTTTTTATTCTAATGTTCAATATCCATCAAATAGATGAAAATCATGGGCAGTGGCCTCTTTACAAGACATGGCGTGGAATTGTCTGGGCTTTTAGACCTGGTGGTGGGTGTGATACAAATACTACTCCAAGTTTCCAGGCAAATAGTTTGGATGAACAGTGTGCTGGTCAGCTGACCCAGCACAGTTTGTTCACTGAACACACTCACTTAAAACAGTTGCTAAAATAGAAATTTTAAATAACCAAGTAGCGCGCCTGCGGGCGCAAAGCCCGCTACGCTTTTTTTGGCTCAAATCCAACTCAAATCGTAGCTTTGTTGAATGTTCCGACGTATGTCTTTTGTTATCCAAATTTTGATGGCGAGAATCATACAAGTTATAGACTGCATCATATAGTTGTTCTCTCGAAGGAATATGTCCATTCACAACCGACATATGCCATATTCTTTGAAGAACAAGTCTACCTCGCAGCATTTAACAACTGCATTCGTTGATCATTCGCTCTGGCATACCACTTTATATGGAAGGGACCCCTCCTTGTTATAAAACTTAACGGAAATGACGGCCAAGTGGAATAATCAAAAAGTATGTTCGCTCCCTATGCTCATTGCTCAAATACTAACTCTTGGCAGTTTTTTGCAACATACGGGTAGCTCAACCCTAAAAACACTTACCCTTCTTACAGATCAGATTTGGGCACGAGCTGAGCTTGCTATTTTTTTTGTTTGCCAACTACGAATGGCCCGAGACACTGGTGACTTTCACCAAGACCTTTTCAAACATTGGGATGAGATTTGGCTCTTCACATACTTAACCCCCCCGCTACCGCTACGGCTCGTGTAATTTTCTTTTTTTGATTCAGCATTGATTAAGTAAGTACCCCCAAAGTTACCCTTAATCCGACAGCGAAAACAACAGACGGCGAGACATAGACCGGTGACCGTCTGTATATGAAGAAAGTCCTGCGATATACAGACCGGTAAATCTGAGTTTAAATTGACGTACCACGCGGCTCCCACGCCAGTTTCCATAAATGGTTCGATGGTTTCTGACCTCCCCTAAACAATCCGCACGTGTCGCATGACGCGCACCGCGTTTCCACTGAATTAATGGCGTGAAATTGACGCGTTTTCTCATATACCACACGTCTGTATCATTGAACACCAAACCCAGAAAATTCACCGGGAGGCTCTGATCCAATATTGTCAAATGAAATTGGCCTACACACAAAATATATAATACATTCGGCGTTAAAGAATATACCCGAAGTACCCCCAACTTCCTCCTTTCTCAATGTCAAAAATGTATCGCCGTCGATGCTGGGGTGAATGTGAAAGAAGTTGGTGGTATGTAAGAATTTGCGGTGGTCAGAGGATTGGCGTCGCTCGGCGCAAGCTGGGATATTGAAGGAGACGCAGAAAATTTGCTGGAACCGATGTTGAAAGCTAGAGGGTTCGCTTTTGCAGGTTTTCGGGTTTTCTTTGTCGGCGCAAATGTAGCAGATGCCAGTATATCGGCTGCGCTTCTGTGGTGCATAGCTGAGAGATGACTTGACGTTGGAAGCAGTGGACGGAGAAAAAAGCAAATCGCAGGGCGGGATGATTTGGCGTGAGCCGGACCGGATTGTTAAGGGGAGGTCAAAAATTGTCGAACCGCTTATGGAAACTGGCGTGGGAGCCGCGCGGTACGGGGATTTAAACTCAGACATACCAGCCTGTATATCGAAGTTCTCATATAAAACCCACTACTTACGTAGTGGGCATATGTTGCAGTGCTTTTCATATATGTATATTTGCATACATATATCAAGAACAGCTACTACAGTTATGAATTCTAATCCACCTCCTGTACATCATGAGGAATGTCAGCCCCATCTTCAACTAACACTCCCTTCTCCTCCAACTCAAGCAAAGCCTGTTCGACACGGGTGGTTGAGTTCATTGCCAAGCCCATAGAAACAATGCTGCCACGGTCTGAAGTAGCATGGAGATGTGCTGGCTTGAAGGCCATTAGTGTGCGCGCGGCCCCTTGGACAACAACACCAAGTCCAAAATCGATAAAGTTAGAGCCCAGATTGTCAGGCAATAACTTGGGACTCAAAACCTTCCGAAGAACAGTCCAAGAAAAAGCCCAGATTGTGGAGCATCCATCGGTGTGAGATGGGCTACATCAAATGGTATCAATTTTTGTGTTAAAAAAAGTAATGATGACAAACTTACGCTTCATATGAAACTGTGGCGACTCCCTCAGGAGGGGCACGAGAAGCTTGACTAAATGTATAGTCTGTATCACCCAACGAAATTGAGAACCCACACCCTACTCAATTTTCATTACTAGTTGATGGAAAAAGAAAAAGAAAAGTTACTGCACCTTCTGGAACATTGCGTGTTGCCATCGTAGGATAAATACCATCCAGCTTATCTTGTACTGGCTTTGTGACATCTGTAGGGAGGTAAGCTTTGATGAGTGCCCACAACAAGCTCATCCCCCCCAGCAAATCTGTGTCCTGCTCGACCATCTCCTCCTTCGACAGCTTCCGTGTAAAAGACTTTGCCCATCCAAGAATCCGGGCATGGCGGGGCCCCATATTAAGGCCAATTTGTACCATCTTTCCTAGATGGCTTGGCTGTCAAAGAGATCAGTCGAAGTGTCTGTAACTCATAATTTACAGAATAGAAAGACGCACGCGGACATCACGCCGGCTGCAGCATGCTGTCTTGATAACCAGTTCCAACCATGACATGAGTGGGTCCACAAAGGGGGCATCACAAGGAACATCCCTCAATACCACCAATTCAATTTCATAATCTAATATTATAAGTAATTTTTAATAATAATAAATGTAATTGGGGTCACATACCTTTATCCGCTTTAGAAGATACAAATATCGCTGATTGGTTAAATGGAAGAACATAGAAGCCACTTTCTGCACAGCAGAGGATGGCATTATCAGGTGTATCCTGATCCCAGACTTCCACAGCAGGACAGTAGCGCTTGTAGTTATGCTGCTTGCCCCCTGGGTAATCCTTCAACTGGCCTTTCATATATCTGCGCTCACGAAGAACAAGAAGGGCACCATATCTTTTCTGGACCTCAACCACTGCATCGTCAAAGGTAGCTGCCTCCCGAAGAATAGCAATAACGGAGACCTGTTTGGCACAGAGACGAAGTGCATCGACCTAAGCCATAATGTATTTGGCTTGCATAATACAAATATTAACGAGTAAGATTGCGCACAATTTTCCTTCTCTCCTGGTGGCTAGCTTTACCCTCAAGCACCTTATCGTGCAATGCTTTAAAGAGTCCATAACGAACTGAGCCCATCTGGTATATGTTGAGTGCCTGTCGGATGAATTCAGGCCACTGTGACGATATATCAGCAGGGGGTATAGATATCTGGGAGTCAGACCTGGCATACCCCAGACCCTTCCTGGAACTGGCCCATAAAGGGTGCCCCTTCTAGAATTGTAGCCTCAACATCAGATGTCGGGTTGTCAAGGTATTTGAGCAGGAGCTGGTCAACAAGCTCCCCCTCGATATAATCACGAACTGCCAGAACAGATCAGATCAGCTTTAGCAGAAAAGAGCTCCTACAGAAGACATACATTCATTGGAACCTGTAGTTTTGCGACCCCGTGTCATTGTAGGTGGGTGGGGGATGCGGGATGGGAGTATGATAACAGAATCAGTGGCAGGTGATAAGCAATGTAAATGTGTAAGCGATGTATAAGCGGTGTGGCTGACTTATGGGTCATGTAGCTTTATGCTTCATACATAATAATGCCACTGTGGTGTAATGGTCTAACGGGCTGCCTTCTGTGTATAACGTCTGGTGTGCCTGATTCCATAAAGCCATGTGACCCAGAGTTCAATCCCCGGTGAGTGCACAAATTTCTATATCTGTGCGAAACAGCATGTCTGCTATATTGCAACATGGTAGTGCAAATTTTTGTTGCCCTCAATAATGCATTCATTTTGCTTGATCAAACAAAGGAATAAAGACAAAAATCCTATATTTATTATATGTGGAAAGCCTGGAGCATTCCGAGATGAAATACTTTATTAAATGACTTGCGGGCTGCAGGCCATTGCTTCGCATGGCAATACGGGTCCTGTTTTTTATATACATCATCATGTTTGCCACTAAAGCTCCAATTACAAACCATGCAGCCGCCGAGTCGCAACCAAAAAGCGGAATGGTCCCAAAAAAAAAAAAAAAAAAAAAAACCGCCACATCCGGAAATACACTGAATCACAAAGTCACCTATCATTGATCAAGTTTCCACTGCCAGGCAGCACGTGCTTCCACATGTTGGTGGTCGGATCGCGCAGGTAAGATCGATAGAGCTTTATTTCGGCATATGACTCCTCGAGGAGTGTCTGATTTTGCGTACGTAGTAACACCATAATACGCCAGAAAAGGGGGCACCATGTAAACAAAGTCACTTCTACAACCAGGCGGCTAGGCAAATATGGTAATCAGTAACGTCATAACGCACCAGCTGAACCATAGACACACGCTGGCGCCGTCACTCTTTCGCGGTACCTTCTGGAATTCCAGGTGATCCTTCAGGCTTCGCTGCACCACAGCAGTCGATTTGCCCACTGTCCTGGCCCACCCTGGGCCATCCAGTTCGCCAATAAAACGCCCACGCCGAGGGAGGCTGAATCAATGGATCAGCCCCATTTCCATCCTGTATCAGCGGCTGTGGACCGGCCGTGTAACTGTTCGATTTTGCTCGACCTTGAGCAGTTGATTGTGCAATGGCAAAAAAGGGTGACAGGGGGTTGACAAGATTTCGTTGAACTTGGACAGATCCGGGTGGAGGGAGGGAGGTTTTGGAGAAGACAGAATAGGTAATTACATTGAGCAAGATGGGTACTCCGTTACGAGGATGGCCTAGGGAAATATATCTGATGTTCAGGACAAAAGGGTAAGGGGATACATGTACCATTCACTTCCACAACCTCCCACTGCCTCTCTACACCGCCTGCTTGGCTATCCAGCTATGTTCCCTCATCGATTGAGTCATTCGAAATGTGTAGTGTGTTGTCGACGTCCAACTGATAGTGCACAATCACGGTAAGCGTTCGCGAAACCTCTCGATCCGTTGTTAACGACTTACCAACCTAGACCTCCGAAGCGTACGTCACGTCCATTGTACTACGTGTTGGAAGCGCCGGCGCTGGCGGGTTCGTGAACAGGAGCCCCAGTCGGTTTGGTGACGCCGGTGGGCGGCTATCGAGGTGGTAGAAGAGTGCGTGACCAGGTCATGTGTTACGGATCAATAACCTTCAGCGAAACCGAGGCTGTCCGCGCAATTTAAAATTTTAAAAGCCACAATAACTCATATACATATTTTGAAACTGGGAAACATTATTTTGGATGTTATAATGTCGCCGTTGACAAACCAATTTTATTCAGTTACAAACCGAGAGCAGATCCTGGATACTTGGTCGGAGGATCGGGCGGTGCCGTACTCGGCATTGCCCGTGACCTGGAATTTTCACCCTGACGAAGCAAGTGGTTTTAGTCTTCATGCTGATCTTTGCCGCCAGGATGAGACCTATACAGATTGAGATTCGTACCCATACAGCTTATTCTGTAGCAGACAAAGAACTTTTTAACTCAACGACCGCGGTGAAACCGAGATGACTCGTGTTCGAACAACACAAGCGTTCAAAATTTATATAATAAGTAGTATGGTAACTACCACTTGTAACTTACGTGAGTGGTTGATTTGGCTTCGCTTGTGACAATGGAGAAATCCGCGGGTTGTGCTTGAGTTTCGG